TACTGGCCTGTTTAGCTGCGACCGATGCAGTGAGTGGTGTTCTGGCACAACCATCGTTTATTCTGTACATGATGTTGTTGTTACTCGGAGTGGGTGGTAAAAGCGCTGAAGACGCAGCTCAAAGTTTCCATTATTCTTCCATACGCGCTGTGCTCGTCTGTTCATCGCTTCATCTGATATTGGTGACTTACCAGAGGGTAATTGCGATTAAATTTACCATGTACTACCCTGTCTTTGTTACAAGACAGAAACTCAAGATAGCAGTGGGAAGCTTTTGGTTCCTTTCAGTTTTTTCCGAGGTAATAAGACACGCCATAGTTGTTCCTTTGTTAACAAACGTTATAGCGGCCGTTGCTTTAATTTGCTGTGTTGTTTTTGTTTCAATTTCTTATGTTTTGTTGTACCAAGAAACCCGCCGACATCAAAGGAAAATGAAAACTGAGCAAATACCACAAGAAGACGTGGAACGATTTGCCAAAGAGAACAAAGCCCTCCAGACAACTGTGTTCGTAGTAGGATCTGTTCTGATTTGTTTTTTCCCTGTGTTCATAGTATTTTTATTAGTATTTTTGTGGTCGGGTCGAGCGGTAGTTGGAGCAAGTTGGTTTTTTGTCTTGACACCATTTGTTCGTACTTTCAGCATGTTCAACTCCTTGCTCAATCCACTAATTTACTGTTTGCGACAAAGAGAAATGAGAAAATTCGTATTAAGATTTCCTAAATCAATACAAGTGGTACAACCCGCTGAGAACTTAGTAGAAGTGAGTCATAAAAGATATTCACAATAATCGTTTCGTTTTTTCGCTTTGAATTACTCAACGATATGAGCCGTATGCGTGAGTTGAAAATGGTTCGTCAAAGTGCCCCACGGTAATCGTACGATAGTTTAAGGGCGTTTAAGCGTAACAGTTTGCGTCTGAAAACAAATCAGGCAGTAAAACTGGCACAAATAAGCCACCCGTATCAAGAAAGTCAAGGAAAGCCTGGTCTTTAAAAAAAATGCTGAAGAACACAAATTCATGTCATATTCTTCTTGCCGGAAACTGCTACTGGCCCTTCACTGTGACGTGGATAAATGCTTGGAGACAAAAGGATTTTGCTAAAAATCCGACAAGATGAATTGCGCAACCATATGACATTGTAACTGTTATACTGGTGATTTTGCCTCCATCCAGGCCTCAGATGCCTTATATTCTCGGTCAACTCATTTCAGTATTACTGTGGAAAATTTAAACTCGAAAAAGATGACGTAAAAACCATCAATGTGAACTTCAACTTGAACTTCAACTTTATTTATCAAAAATGGTGAAAACGAAAAAGGAATTGACGAAGCGTTTGAAAGCGTATAATTTGTTCACATACAATGAAGTTACATAACTTTTAACTCAACTTTTTAAATTATCAATGCCGTCTCATTATAGTCATATTTGCTTTTTAAAATGTTCGGCATACAATGTAGCTTGACGCAGAAGGCGAGGGTCTATTTGGACCAAAAATCGAACCCAAGAAACATGAAAATCAGCCAAGAGAAAATAAAATCACGTTAACTCTGTTTTGCGTTTTTCAGTAATAATCAATGAAAATTGTTTATGTTTGACCGCGCGCGTGCTTTTGAAAATATGTTATTTCGATAAAAGAGAACACACGCGCATATTAGATTTTAGAAACATGCAGCTATGCCATAGCCGAACTTGTTTGATGTTGTTGTTGTTTGTTTGNATGTCATATTCTTCTTGCCGGAAACTGCTACTGGCCCTTCACTGTGACGTGGATAAATGCTTGGAGACAAAAGGATTTTGCTAAAAATCCGACAAGATGAATTGCGCAACCATATGACATTGTAACTGTTACACTGGTGATTTTGCCTCCATCCAGGCCTCAGATGCCTTATATTCTCGGTTAATTCATTTCAGTATTACTGTGGAAATTTAAACTCGAAAAAGATGACGTAAAAACCATCAATGTGAACTTCAACTTGAACTTCAACTTTATTTATTAAAAATGGTGAAAACGAAAAAGGAATTGACGAAGGGTTTGAAAGCGTATAATTTGTTCACATACAATGAAGTTACATAACTTTTAACTCAACTTTTTAAATTATCAATGCCGTTTCATTATAGTCATATTTGCTTTTTAAAATGTTCGGCATACAATGTAGCTTGACGCAGAAGGCGAGGGTTTATTTGGACCAAAAATCGAACCCAAGAAACATGAAAATCAGCCAAGAGAAAATAAAATCACGTTACCTCTGTTTTGCGTTTCTCGGTAATAATCAATGAAAATCGTTTGTGCTTGACCGCGCGCGTGCTTTTTAAAATATGTTATTTCGATTAAAGAGAACACACGCGCCAGGAGCGGATCCAGGATTTTTTTTAGGAGGGGGTGCACTCGTCTCTTGCCTTACTTCAACACCAATAAACCACATAGTTTTTTTTTGCAGAATACCAGTTGTATTAGAAAACCGCAGGTCACTGTCTCGGGTGGGGGGGTGCGCCCCCCCTGCACCCTCCCCCTAGATCCGCCCCTGCGCGCATATTAGATTTTAGAAACATGCAGCTATGCCACAACCGAACTTGTTTGATGTTGTTGTTGTTTGTTTGTTTTTGTTTTAAGAGAATTTATGTTTGGAAAAGTGCCATAGTTGACGGTGAATCGTTTTTATTTTACTTGTTTTGACAGTTGGAGATCCATTCTTCATTTAAGGTTTGGTTGCACTAAATCACATAAAAAGATAGATTAATTGTAGTAAAGTTTCAAATACTGAAAAAAAAATCCGCTGTCCTAGAAGTTTGCTTTTTTGTCCGTTTGTTTGTTTGTTTGTTTGTTTGTTTGTTTTTTTCGCAAACTTGGAGCCACAAAAGCGCTAGATGTAATTTTCTCTTACCTTTTTTAACTATTGGCAGACGTAAGATTTGTTATCATAAGAAGGATTATTCCCACTGCAGTGATAATACCATAGCTTTCCTTCTCAGAGCAAAAGTCTTTTGTTTCTCACGTGATATGTTTCAACGTTGGTTTTCGTCCGTTAAGCGCAAAAAGAAAATGAATGTTTGACGTCATAATACGAGTTTTATGACGCGGCTCGCGCCACGCGCACTGTGGTTACGAGGTTGCGCAACATTTATTCCTGTAATAGCCTGTACCAGGCTCTCGGTCAGTGTAAACGAGCAAAGAAAGCGAGCGAGCACCTCACCCTCTCCTAAGCCTTCACGCGACTTTTCGCGCTTTTTTTCGATCCGTTGTCCCCACTATCATGAAGCCTGGAACAGGCTATGCCATTCCTGTGCATTCTCCTTATTGTCGTGTTCAACAGCAAACACCGTACTCGAGAAAGGGCGTATCATTGAATAGCTGGCTAGTGTAAGGTTATTTATTTATTAACTACAAAGCACGAGTTTCTAAAACTTCACCTTTTTTGCACACTAGTCCGCATCTGCAAAAAATTCGTCGACAAATGAATTCGATCAGTCCACATTTCCCCATTTACGAGGAACACTGACTTTTCCTAGCCATTTTTCTAACTTGGTGATACTAGTTTTATGTATCACACTCTGAATAAATTCATAATACCCCTAGCTTCGATTTCCGATTTAAACATTAAAGCTAGATAATTGGGCACTAGAAAATAACAGGAAACGAACTGATATCAGTATCTGATACTGATTTTTTTAAAAATAAATGCGCACAGTGCCATATTTGCATTTAGTTTAATTCTCCGCTAGTTTCCCCAGATTGCAGCTGTTGTTTACAGTAAAATTATGCTTTTCGTGCAGAAAAAAGATCGCTAATAACTGTATATCAACTGACACTAATTGAGGAACGTGAAGTAGTGTTACCTACTTGAGTTAACCAATCTTATCGTGGGAAAATGCTGAGTGAAAAGCGCTTGCATATTGAAGTTTCTTAAACAGTGTATGGCCATTGACTTAAGACCACTGAACCATTATGAAGACGCTTTTACTTACGTTAATTTACTTCGCGGCTGAAAACTGTTGTCTTCTTAATTATTAAAACCAATCATACTTATTTAGCGGTCGACTAAGTATGTTTGAAATGTGTATATTTGGCAGGTCATCGAGTAAATGCAGACAATGTAAAGAAACCCGCTGGGGAAAGTGTGGACGCACTATCCCTCCACTATATATATACTCGTCGGTTTTAGCGACAAAAAGTACATAAGCATTTTTATTCTTACAAGAAAACATGTATGTCGAAAACTCTACTTCAGGCTCCAATTCAACCTTCATGTTTTCAAACAACAGCTTGGACGAACCGGCTTCGCGTCTTAGCACACAAGCACAGATAAGTTTGATCATTAACATCATCATCAACATCATAACTTGTCCGTTCACTGTTCTGCTCAACGCTTTAGTGATAATTGCAGTGAAAACAAGACCAACACTTCAGAGCTATGCCAATATTCTACTGGCCTGTTTAGCTGCTACCGATGCAGTGAGTGGTGTTCTGGCACAACCATCGTTTATTCTGTACATGATGTTGTTGTTATTTGGAACAGGTGCGGATCAAAGCACCAAACTTGAGGTTCATTTATCCCACAATTCTGCTCTGCGCGTTGTGCTTGTCTGTTCATCGCTTCATCTGATATTGGTGACTTACGAGAGGGTAATTGCGATTAAATTTACCATGTACTACCCTATCTTTGTCACAGCCCAGAAACTCAAAGTAGCAGTGATTGCTTTTTGGCTTGTTTCAATTTCTTCCGAGCTAGTAAACCGCGCAACAGAGGACCCTTTATTTTCAAACATTATAACGACCCTGGCTTTAATTTTCTGTGTTGTTTTTGTTTCAATTTCTTACTTGTTGTTGTACAAAGAAACCCTTAGGCTGAGAAGGAAAATGAAAAATGAGCAAATACCACAAGAAGAAGTGGAACGAATTGCCAAGGAAAACAAAGCACTCAAGACAACTGTGCTCGTAGTCGGAGCTGTTCTGTTATGTTTTATCCCCTTGTTGATGCATATTCTATTGGTAATTTTGTGGTCGGGTAACGTTGTATATCAAGCAAGTTTGTACAATGTCTTGACACCATTTTCTCGTACGTTCAGCATGTTTAACTCCTTCCTCAATCCACTAATTTACTGTTTGCGACAAAGAGAAATTAGAAAATTTGTATTAAGATTTCCTAAAGTAATACAAGTGGTGCAACCCGTTGAAAACTAGCACGTTTAACAGTGAGGATTTGACCTGATCAGAAGTAAGTCAACTGGTGCGGTTCCTCTTTTACCACACCTGAACCGTGCAAGTTTTTGCACAGACCTGGGGCATAGTTACGCGAATTTGATAAAAAAAGAAAAAGCCATTCCCGTGCTGAGACTGGCGAAAATTTGTACCGACTCGTTTAAACAGTATTGCAACAGGATTTGCACGGTTCCGTGTAAACGGAACAAAAAGCACAAGATGCAATTATTTCTTACCTTTTTAAACTACATGCAGACGTAAGATTTGTTATCATGAGAAGGATCATTCCAGTGTAGTGATCAATATAATCGCTTTCCTTGTCAGAGCGAAAGTTTTTTTTTCTCACTTATATGTTCAAGTTGAGCGCCAAACAAAATGAATATTTGACGTCATAATAAGAGATTTATGACGTGGCTCGCGCTCGCGCCCCGTGCACTGCTCAACATTCGACCTCGTTCTCAGGGTTCTGTCCCTGGGAACGAGGTTCCTGTACATTCTTCCAGTTGTCATGTTCTGTCTCAAACATCGTACCCGAGAAAGGGCGTATCACTGAATAGTTGCCTAACAAAAAGATATTTTTTATTTACTTCAATGCACCAGTTTCTAAAACTTTACTTTTAAACACTCCTGCGCATCTGCAAAAAAATCTTCGACAAATGAGTTCGGGCAGTTCGCATTTCCCCCCTTTTTAGAAACAATGACTCTTCTACTAATCATTTCCAAGTCAGTGATAGTGGTTATGTATCAAACTCTGAACAAAGGCATAATAACCTTAGCTTCGATTTCCGATGTAAACATTGAATCTAGATAAGTGAACATAAAAGAGTGGATGGACACTAGAAACGTAGGCTCGATTACCAGCCGCCGATCGGGAAATGAGCCCCCACTCCTGAACCCAATCGAACGAAATGATAACGAAGATCTGAATTTTTGAAAAAAAAGGTGTTCAGGGCTACATTTTCATTTGTTGTCTATCTCAGGTTCTCCTTTAACTAGATTGCTGTTGCTTTTTTCTTCGTGCAACAGCAAAAGATCGCTAACAAGTGTAGATCAACTGTCGCTAATTGAAGAACATGTGTTACCCACTTGAGTTAACCAATCTTGTCGTGGGAAAAAGCTAAGGAGAAAAGGCTTGTATATTGAAATTTCTTAAACAGTGTAAGGCAATTCACTAAGGACCTCTCAAACATAATGGTAATTCTTTCACCCGAAAATGTTCTTCGAGGAAGGAAAACTGTTGTCTTCTTAATTAAATAACCAATCATGTTCAGATCCTTACATGGGTAATATATGTGTATTTAGCTCTTGACTAAGTAAGTAAGAAACGGATATATTAGGCAAAATAGAAATGCTTGACCAAAAGCGATCAGTTGATCGACCAAATGCAGACAAAGTTAAGAAACCTGGGAAAGTGTTGACGTTGTCGGTTTCAGCAAGGAAAAAAACGTAAGCATTTTTCTTCTCAATAGTAAACATGTATGTCACGAACTCTACTTCAGGCTTCAATTCAACCTTCATGTTTTCAAACAACACCTTGGACGAACCGACTTCGCTTCTTAGCACACAAGCACAGATAAGTTTGATCATCAACATCATAACTTGTCCGTTCACTGTTTTTCTCAACGCTTTGGTGATAATTGCAGTGAAAACAAGACCAACACTTCAGAGCTATGCCAATATTCTACTGGCCTGTTTAGCTGCTAACGATGCAGTGAGTGGTGTTCTGGCACAACCATCGTTTATTCTGTACATGATGTTGTTGTTACTCGGAGTAGGTGGTAAAAGCGCTGAAGACGCGGTTCATTTTTTCCATAATTCTGTCTTACGCGCTGTGCTTGTCTGTTCATCGTTTCATCTGATATTGGTAACTTACGAGAGGGTAATTGCGATTAAATTTACCATGTACTACCCTATCTCTGTCACAGAACAGAAACTCAAGATAGCAGTGACTGCTTTTTGGCTGCTTTCAATTTCTTCTGAGGTACTAAAACACGCAATAGAGGACTCTTTATATTCAAACGTTATAGCGGCCGTGGCTTTAATTTCCTGCGTTGTTTTTGTCTCAATTTCTTACTTCTTGTTGTATCAAGAAACCCGCAGTCACCAAAGGAAAATGAAAACTGAGCAAATACCACAAGAAGTAGTGGAACGGTTTGCCAAAGAGAACAAAGCACTCAAGACAACTGTGTTCGTAGTAGGAGCTGTTCTGTTATGTTTTATCCCTATGTTTATACTACTTTTGTTAGTATTTTTGTGGTCGGGAAACGTTGTTGTACAAGCAAGTTTGTTTTATGTGTTGACACCATTTGTTCGTACATTCAGTATGTTCAACTCTTTTCTCAATCCACTAATTTACTGTTTGCGACAAAGAGAAATGAGAAAATTTGTATTGAGATTTCCTAAAACAGTGCAAGTGGTGCAACCCGCTAATGACTAGCACGTAAAACTGAGAACCTAGTAAAAGCGAGTCGTAAACAGCGTCGTTTTTCCATTGAAGTTCTTCACTACCAACCCAGCGTGAGCTGAAAATGACAAGTCAGAAATTTAGAAGCGCCCGGCGCAATCGTATGATAGCCGATTTAGGGCGTTTCCGAAAATAAACTGGGTATTCATAGAACTAGCACAAATGTGCCAACCTCAATAAGTCAGGTCTCTTAGTGCAAAATATAGGCCGGATCGTTACAGACGTGACAAAAGTGCAAACTTGGCACAGAGCTTCCTTAGCACCTGCCGATTAATACTGGAGGGGGTGCCCGTTACAAATGGTCCAAATCACAGATAAAAGGGGGGTTAACTTTCACCTATAATAGCAGATTGGGTTCCCTGTGGTGAGTACTCTTCTTGTTTGATTTGGCTAAAAAACATTTGTTTCAAATTTTTAAGGTTTTAATTTGGTAATGTTTAGTTGTTGTTACACTATTCAAAATAATTTTACATGTACATAATACTGACTAGTGCCCAGTCTCCACACGGTAAGTGTGGCCATGTTCACCGTGCGGCTATCAGTGTCACTGCTAAGACTTGCCAGTGATAAGATCATCACATATCATTTTAAACAGATCACAAAGCCAGCTTTCAAAGATGTCATACGATAACATAAAACCCGAATGTATCACATCCTAAACGATATAATCGTTAAATTTTGACATGCTACATGAACGACCTCATGAACCATAACTGACAACGCGCCCACTTTGTAATTGTGCAGCTAAGATTAGATTGTAATTTGCTTCGTTGGTAACCCTGTCCTTGAGATAATGATTAAAACAAGTCAACCTCGTCCTCGGGGGAAAAGGAGGAGAAAGGGTGGCACAGCTGGTTAGTGCGCAGCCTTCGGTGCGCGAGGTCCCGAGTTCGATCCCCGGTGTCAACACATCCTTATTTCAACTTCTCTCCTTTCTGGGTAGCTTTGACTAGCTTTAAATACCCTTAATTAGAGCATTAATGGAGAGAGGGGGGAAAAAGGAACGCACAGTCGACCTCAAGTTTATCAGTTATTATTACTGTAAAGAGTTATTGACGTAAAATATGGTCCGTTTACCCATGGTTTACCTTTTTCTACCTTCTCATTAAGCCCTGGGGACGAGGTTGTAAAACATGCCTCTTCAGGAATTTTTAACACTCTTTATTTTTTACACATTTGCATTTAAAAAGGAGTGTATGAGGTCCCTGCATGCCTAGACACCTGTAAGGAACTCATTCACTTCACCCGCAGAGACCTCGCACCAGAGTGTTAATGGTAGGTCTCTACGATCTTTCAAAAAAGAGGAAGGTCGTCGCGTGCGTTACAATTTACAAACAAACTAACTTCAGAAGAGCTAAAAGTTACAGGAACAAGGCCTCTTTTAGCCAACCAATGATGCATCATTTATGAAAATGAATGTAATTTGTTTGATGCAATTAGGCAAATACTCCGTGGTTACGAAATCTTACAATCATGAATTTCTCAAGAGAAATTCAGTTACCAACTTTTCACAAAATAATGCTGTGGAAAATTACAGAAAATACCAAAATAGGCAAGGGTCAACAATAATTATGGCTTGGCCCCTTATAATAATGGAGTGGTCATGATAAAGAAGCCCATCAGCCCCAACTTTGACCACTCAAACAGATTTTTGACAGATTACATACCGCAAAACTTTGCCAGAGATTCACTTATGCCTATGTTGCCACACAAGAAGCCTAGAAATCGGCTCCTGGTCACACCTTGTTTTTATTGCTGAATATTATTCTAAAGAGCTTTACGAAATATTTTGTTGGTAGGGGTGTATTTTTGGACATGAGTGCTTCAGTGCCAAATGTAGAGGCTTCATGATAAACTGTGCTGTTTTTTGAAGTCTGGGATAATTTCTTTTTTGCGTTTATAAGACCAGATTCTTTTTTGTTTGTTTTTGCTTTGTAAAGCTTAGATAAACTGCTGGAATTGTAAATGATATGACTTGTGCCACGATGCTTGCTTCTCTGTCAAAACATGCACGTGCGTCCAACAGATTACCTCCTTAGGAAAGAACTATTTTGGGTTCTGTCATTTCGTTATTTGCTCCTTGTGAACAGCTGTCCACATAAATGTAGTCTTTTGAATTTTATTGTAATATTACCGTAATTCTTATCGCCAAAGGTAATAAATAAAGGTATTATTATAATCCCTGATAATATGTGATACAACAGAGTCTTTGACAATTTCTTTTTTCTGTAATTTTGTTTCTGAATCGCTATGCCATACGCTTTCTTTAGCTTAAAGTGACATGTTTATGATGACAGGTAATACTTGATAAATAAGGCTTAAGCCACACAATAAAGCCTCCTCTAATTGAAATACATTAGAAAAGGAGAGGAGAACCCCACAACCTGAGTACTTGCAAGTTATGAAGCAAAGACGAGGCCATCTTAGAAATGACTTATGAAAATGTGGGCGGACTGTGGACTTGCTTTAAGGGCACAGTAATAATCAACTTAATTATTCAATCAATAAGCTAAGAATGGATGCAAATACCAGATGTTCGAGTGAAATTGTTGTTTACAACATGAGAAGAGCATTCTGAGTGATTTAAGGTATTGAATAACAATTTTCAATCAAAACACCACAGGGACCCCAGCAGGTGAAATTTACAATAATTAAGTCCTGTTTAGCACGCTTCAGTGGCATATTTGCATTGGGCACCCTTCTAATATTCATGGTACTGCAGTAAGCTATCGCTGTGCAAAGTTTGGTGCTTTTGTCAACTCTGTAACGATCCTGACCCTAAGAGACCTGACTACAAGGGATGTTCCTTATAAAAAACAAAAGAACACATCCGAATGCACGCAATGACACCCCGCCGCAGCATGCTGCTCGTAGTTAGACGAGAGGAAGTATACACTAACACAATAGCCGAGCACTGTAACTGTTGAACTGCAGATCAAATTATGAAATCTAAGAAACCAAGAGAGTGGAGTATGACAGACTATTTCACAAAGCAGTGTGAAGAATTTAATTTCGATTTGACAAACATGATGTAACTTTTTTTAACGAACATTTTTTGTCAAGGTTTCAGGCAGAAGGCAGAAGGCGACCATGTCACCAAACCGCTGGGGCCTGAAATTTTTCCCGCCATTTCCAATGCTTGCCAGCGAGCGTTGTTCACGGGCAGTCGCAGTTTTACTTTTCATTCTGCTTTTCTTAGTCATTCTTAAAAACAGCATATGTACGTCCCATGCTAGAATGCTGGGAGGATTTTCACGAAACACTTCTTGTCTCTTGCTGGCAAAAACAAAAGAAAGAATTTCGTAATGGCAGTTCAACCAAAAAAGAAATTTCCCAAAAAACTGCCAGCGAGTTTAACACAGTCTCCAAGGACGTGATGGTGACCGGCGAACAGTGCGAGAGATATATTGCAAACGAGACTCTATGGCTGCAAAGCTTTTCCATTTGACCCGGAATGTTTCTGAAATTTCCAACCGGAAATTTTGCCTAAATGAAAAGCGCCCCTGTTGTCCTTTTGATTGTTTTATCTAAACTGATACCCCAGAAAGCCCCCAAAACAGTTAAGGTTGTTTTCACTAGCGACGGAGTCGGAGTCGTAAGCGGGAGTCGTAGTGAGAGCGCTTATGACCTGGCCTGAAAATCATTAGTCGGAGTCGTAAGCGCGACGGAATCGGAATCAGAAGAATAAGAACGTTTGCATTTTCTTCCAACTCCGCTTACGACTCCGTCGCTTACGTTCCCCTTATGATCTAGTGAAAACCAGATTGTCGGAGTCGGAAGCGGAAGCGGAAGGATAAACCAATCACAATGCACGTTCCCACGCTTTGTGATTGGTTTAGTTCTTCCGCTTTTGCTTGCGACTACGACGACCCAGTTTTCACTTGATCGTAAACGAAGGAGTCGTAAGCGGAATCAGGAGAATCAGAACGCTGTTTTCTCTTGATCGTAAAGTTCTACGCTTCTGATTACGACTCCGACTCCGAATCCGTGGCTCGTGAAAACCAGCCTTTAAGATCCTTTAAGCGCGATTATTTCTTACCTTTGTCAACTCCTGCAAATGTAAGATTTCTTAAGAGAGCGAAACATCTCCAGTGAGTAATCAATACAACCGCTTTCTTTCTCAAAACAAACCGTTTTTTTTTGTCATAAAGGATACGCTCAACATGTTCGTTGAGCGACAAAAAATTAATGTTTAACGTCATAATACGGCTTAAATGACGCGGTTCGCGCCACTCGCGCTATAGAACATTGGGCGCGATCCATTCAACCAAAATTTCCGGAAATTTCGGTCCACAATTCAATGGATCGGTTCGATCCAACCGGAAAAGTTTCGAAAAAACGGGTCCACCTTTTGAGGTGGACCAATTTTCCCGGTCGGACCGGTTGGAATTTTGGTTGAATGGATCGCGCCCATTGTTCCCAGTACGTGCATTGTCCTACGAGAAAGAGCGTCATCATCATCATCATCATAATAGCACCATCAAATCATCAAATAGAAAGTATTTTAATACTTTAAATTTAAAAATTTAGAAGTCTATTTGCATTCTCGTCTTTTGCTAGTGATTTCATCCCAGCACCGCTGAATGTAAGAGAATAGATTTTCTATTTTACAGATTTAACATTGAGAATTTAGACCGTAATGAAGTCTTTTTTAAGAGTCTTAACAACAACTTCAAGATCCTCTAATATAATATCAATGTCGTTTTTGGAGGTGTATCGTCCAACACTCAGCCGCAGAGCATTCATGGCAACATCATGGGGAATGCCGATCGCTGTTAGGATGGGAGATGGCCGTGAAACAGCATCCGAGTGACAAGCAGCGCCAACACTGGCTTGCAGCTTTTTGACAGCTGCTAAGATCTTCCGACCTTCGAGACCTCTTCCCAGAAAGGACACATTACACGTGTTGGGAATTCGTTCGCTTGTATCGAATTTTCCGTTGAATTGAATGTTGTCTTCAAACGTCTCTTTCAGCCTAGACTCAAGATAATCCCTCACCTTTGAAACATTAAAAAGAAAAAAGAAAAGATTATCCTTCTAAGCAGTCACAACATTTGGGTTGTCGTACGCTCAAACAAAACATCTTATTTATCAACCACTCTAGCCACCTACGTTTTAAAAACAAATTAACAAATCGACAACAATATTATTTTCCATGGTCTGTTCTTTTATCGACCATAGAAATGACGTCAAAATGTTCAAAATTCAAGTGGAACCACGAGCCGCAGGCGAGTGGTTTCACTCCAAAAACCCTTATCGAACATATAGCTCTCAACCAATCAGCGTGCGAGAAATCGTTTAGTTATGGTCAAATACAGTTTTAACATCTTTCATTTTCACGAGGCTTTGAGTTTTTGAAATTTGGTGGTAACATTTTGACGGAAACAATAGCCTGCGAATGGCAGAAGTTTCTCCTCGCTCATCGTCCCTCAGCGGCGATGAGCGAGGAGAAACGTCTGCCGTTCGCAGGCTACGGAAACAATTTTGTGATAGTCTATCATTCACGCCAAGAATCCCTCAGTCTTTGCTCATGCTTTTACTTTTACAGAAAATTTCACCACCCCTTGACCAAAACCCACCAAGCTGAGCCGAAACAGTATATCACTATATCTTCGTTTGCTGAAAGTCATGCATGCTTATTAGTTTCTAACTTATGTAGCAGGGCAGCAGGCACGTAGGAGTAAGATGTGTGCAAGAAAGAATGGGGCACGCGATGGAGACATGCAGCCTCTCTTTCAGTGTGTTCCCCTTGCGCGCCCCATTCTTTCTTGCCCCCATAATAATAATAATAGTAATAATAATAATAAAACGTTTTTTATTGAGGGTAGAACTTAACATCTCTCGATAATCTACATCTGGCCCTCAGAAAAATAAATTAAAAAACAAAAATTCAGTCAAAAAACTATGATTCATAGGGGAGAATTTAAAGATAAACTAAATGAGGAATTGCTAATGATTGTCCATTACAATTTACAAACTTCAATTTGCTTAAGTTTGTTTTCGAAAGACATCAAGGTAGAGCAGTCTTTTAACTCCTCAGGAAGTCTGTTCCACAAGCTTGCAGCACTGAACATATATGAGTGCTGTCCATATGTTTGTTTAATTCTCTGCAACTTCCAAGTGCCTGCTTTACAGGCTAATTAGCTTCTTACAAAAAGTGAGAAAAGCCTATGAAGAATCCATTGTAAACAACAGATTAACACTAACATCGATCAAGCAGCTGGTGTCTTTGTGCTGGATCAGATAAAACATCTCACATTTGCCAGCCTGATTCAGCCTGATGACGTCAGCATTGCTGGCCTCTTCAACATCAGGATAGAAAATGCTTTACTGAGTTGTTGTGAACCATAACATTCACGTACCATTTTCATGTTTTCATATTTTCATAGTATTGATCCAAATTGTCAACCACCAACTGCGAAGCTTCTCCCAACCCAGCTATCATGCCTGTGTTTTCCGTTCCTGGTCTGAAATTTCTCTCTTGACCTCCTCCATAAAATATTGGGTAAAGCGGTGTGACAGTCTCTGGATCACGCACAAAGAGTGCCCCTAGAGATACACGAAATATAACACTGGCATGAAATTTGGAAAAAAAAAAGTGATGACCCAAAATCCAGGACTTAAGCCAACCACACCCTGTCACGCCCTGACAAAACAATGGAACCCACAGTCAACTTCCATGACAGAGAAATTCAATCAAATGTATATCAAAAATAGGAAATACAGAGTGCCAGGTCTTTCTCCATGGGTGTTAGGGTGGGGAAGGGAGGCCACCTCCCTATAAAAATAGCAGGGGTGATTGTTACTTCTAAAAGTAAGTAAAATTTGTGGTTTGGTACTGCTTAGGGTGCGATAATCTAAAAATCTAATCCAGTATCTATTAGTTTCAACAATTTGCCAAATAGGTGTCGTTGTCAATCATACCAATTCGAGGTCCATAAAACTTGTGTCCAACAACTGTAAGGTAATCCACCTCTAGCTCATCTATGTCAACTTTAATCTTGCCTATGGCTTGAGCAGCATCTGTATGAATAAGAATCCTGGGGAGTTTTTTAGATAAACGACTCTTGTTTCGACTTCTAATGGTCTTTGAAATGTCCTCAATTGGCTGCAAGAACAAGCAAACAAAAGAAAATAATATCTCAAGTTATAATGAACAGGAGAGCTGTCCATTATTAGCAAATCAGTTCTCAGGGTTTGCAACAGGTTGAAATCTTAAGCAGATGAGCATGCATCAAACCTCTCCTGATATTTCTTGGGACAGTAACTGCTTTATCAAAAACAGTCTGATTTTTAAGCAAATTCTTTTTGTTACAGTAGAACCTCAATACGCAAAGGGCCAAGGAGCTGGCAAAATATTTTCGCTACAACAAGGTTTTGGTTATCATGATGTACTTTTCCAGAAATTTTTACATTACAGGGTGCAAAGAAAATCCTTTTTACAGGTTGCCATTCGGGCAAGCTGAAGCTAGCATTTACTAGCCCAGACGTCATTTCAACTAGCCCCAAACGCTTTTTGACAAGCAGAATTATTTTCACAGTTCTTCTGATATTCAAATTTCTCAAAAAACGTCACTTGCCTGTCGGGCAAGTTAAAAACAGAATTCACTAGCCCGATAGCAAAATCCACTAGCCCCTGGGCTATCGGACACTACTTTCTTTGCATGCTGCATTATTAGGGTGGACAATGTCGCTCATTATACTAGGGACTTTGTTTTGAGAGGGTTCATTGTACTGATGTTTGACTGCGGTAGTAAGTAATAATAATAAGTGCATAGACCCTTTGTAACTCCTAAGGGCTGGCAATATTTTTGTTGGCAAACCAAGAAAAACCTATTCAGCCTGAAAAGCTTTTAAGCTGACAGGAGTGATGGGCCACCTAGCAACCAAATTTATTTTTATCCACCCTTCTCCCCAGAAATAGAAAAGTGTAAGATGATCACATTAGGAATTTCACGCAGAAAAAAAATTTAGTTTAAAGATTATACTAATTTATGATGAACCCCTATTGAGTGGCCAACCTCCACAAAGCGGCCACTTGCCAGTACCCCAGGGGACCGCTTAATGGAGGTTCGACTGTAACAATTTTCACGTCAATCACCTGAATCACTCCTGTTTCATTGTTGGCCATCATAACAGTAACTAAACACGTACTGGGTCTCACTTCCTGCAGTATCCCCTCTGCAGTAACAGCACCAGAGTCTGGTGAAGCAGGAACAAAAGTCACATCAATCTTGCCTTGTTCTTTAAGTTTCAGGAGTGGAAGTTGGATTGAATCATGTTCCAGATTGGATGTAATGACATGTGGCTTGCAGTCTGGCTGATCATTAAAGCCATGGAAATATTCCAAAGCAGAGTGAATAACCATGTTGTTTCCCTCAGTACCACCTGACAGGAATATGATGTCACCGCTTGACGCCCCAATCATGGAAGCTATTGAGGTTCGGGCTCGTTTGATTACGTGACTTGCTTTCTTTCCCGCAGCATAGGAACTGCTGGGATTTCCCCAGGCATCTCGTAGAGCATCTTGGATGGCTGATAGCACTGACGGTTCCAGTGGAGTTGTAGCATTATAATCTAAATAAATTTTGTTCTCATCGGTCATGATGAACTTGCATGAGACCAAGTTAAAACCCTAAGAAAAAAAGAACTTGAGAGAAAATTATGAAGATTTAACTCTATCCTGACTGGATTTTTTCGTAAGCACGCACATAAACAGGCGTATTTAAAAGAAAACAATTTACAAAACGTAAGAAACCAGAAAACGAAAGCTAAAGGGAAAAGATGAATTGCTCTTGATTATTACTCGACCCAGTCTCCTGCCAAACATCCCCCACTCTACCCTAGTGAAGTCAGTGTTTTCGTCATCAGGTGACTATCAGGAAGGAAGGAATGGCTGATCATGATGATGCAGTCCTTGTCGATTGTGAAGAAGTTCCCGATTTTTCGTACGAACCAAGACAAGTTACTCCTTCTCTTTCGCTCAAAGATGGACAAGTAAATCCAAGGGGAAATTTTTCGTTGGCAGGAAACAGCGGAGAGATTTCAAATCGTCAGGAGAACTCGGTCCCTGAGCTCATAATCGCTGTGTTTGTTGTGCAGTTTGACACGCGAAGAGGTAAGCTTATTTCATAAAAGCCTAGATTTATCATTGCACCACCATACTACCTAAGACTTTTTCGGTAATCAGTGGAACGCTTCGTTTTGTTCCCCTCGATACGCTCGATTTCTAACTTATGTATAATACAAAAAAATACATATTATCTTTCTTTCTTTTTTAATTTTTGACTGTATCATTTTTCTCAGGTATGAAGTTATAATTTCATTAACCTTGCTTTGATAAATTGGATTGTACTGTGTAGTGTCAATATGCAATTTTATTCATGCTGTACTTATATGTTAATATCCTTTTACTTTCCCTATTTGTTTTTGAGCATGGTAAGGTGTGTTAATTAGTTTGAAAAGAAAGAAAATGAAAGTTGAACCAAGGATAGAATTTAACCACAACAATAGCGACTCTTCTGCCTATTCTGCCATTCTGGTTTTATAGTGGAACGCAATGTTCTTCGGTTTGTACATGTGTCCTCCATCTTGAATCTTCCCAGTTTCTGTTACTTGTGGCCCTTATATTAACAAACCCTTGCAGTTTGGGATGAAATGTTAACCAGTTCTACTTATTCCCTTCTTTGCTGTTGTTAAGGAAATTGGAACTTCTGTCTTATAGGGGGTGACAACTGATGTATCGATCCAGTTTTGGTTGACACATGTATATCATTTGAGGGCCAGCCAATATATCAATTAAAAGTCAGTTGATATGTTGATCAAGGGTCAATCATGTCAATCAAGACTTAGTGTTGGTTGACTATAGACTGTTCTATGGCCAGTTCATTGAGCGACAGTTGGTCTCAATAGCATCGGTAGTGTGGCATGAATGTATTGAAGAACTGTCGGTCAAGTTTAGGACATTGGTGATGAATCAGTTGACAGGGCCTTCTCATTTTAACCCTAGCCTAGTGGCTCAGGCTAACATGAGTCTGAGTCAGACTGAAAACATATTTATGCCCATGAACATAAACTCTTAAGGACAGCTTCAACCCAAACATGCGTATTTTAAGATCCAGGTGTGCTTACTACTAAGGTGTCACCCGCAATGTCAACCAGTACCATTGTGTTGGTGATAAATTTATGTCTTGGATATCCTGGCGAAGTAATGGCTTGACTGTCAACCAACTATTGACTGACAGACTATTAGGACAGGCTACCATCAGCAACAAAATTATTTGAGACACTTAGCCCTAAATGGTGTCTCTAAGGTTTGCTAATTTAAAAAAGGGAAATGAAATAAAGCTTTCCCTCCCTGATCCCTTCCCTGCAGTGTTGTGCCACTGTTCGAGCTACATGTACCTGCAGAAAGCAAGTTTTGTTCCCCAAAGTTGCCGCATTTAATTTGAGGCCAATGTCACAAAAATTTTGTTTCTGATTGGACCATCCATATATCGACCCACTCGAATGACACTGGACTGACAATTGACCAACACAGTACTCGAGTGTTCTAGACCAATATCTACTAATAATTACTTAATATTTCAGTCAACTCCCCCTATGAGACAGAAGATCCAGGAAATTTATGATCCATGGGATTTATATCAGCTCCTTAAGTAACTCAGTGCAATATGCTATTCTTTCAAGTAAAGAGAGTAAATTTGATATTGTCTATAATTTGTTACATTTTGCAACTACAATGTCATACATTGTAAACCATTTTTAACCCCTGTGACAAATCTTGAAGTTCAAGTCCCCCTTTTTGATTGGGGACCTAACATTTATGTTTATTGTTGTTTGTTAGGAAATGAAATTGAGTGGAAGTATCCAACATCTGTGAATTTGATAGGTGTGGAATTCAAGGCCCTTGCTAGTGGTTCTCATACAATCACAAAAGATTTTATGTAAGTATTGAGTACATGTATAAAACTTACAATAATCATGTGGTTCTTACCTTAACAGCTGGTTTGCAGATGATATAGTTTGTGTTGTGTAAGCAAGTACTTAAACCATCATTTGCCTTCTTATAACTTATTATAAAAGGTTCTATCAGCCCATCAGGTAGCCTGCGAATACAGCCATCTCTTCCTACTGCTCACCTTTAGGGATTTTTTTCGGTAGAGATGTCTGGGATTCGGCCCAAAAAAATTCCATACTGATAATGGGAATCAATGTTTACATAATCTAGCGAGCGAGACAGCTGTACAGTTAGTCCTCCATTAACCCTTTAGGTCCCAAGAGTGACCAACATCAATTTCCTCCTAACAGCATCAGCATATTATCAAGTACAAAAGATCATGAGTATTACTAAATTGATTACCAAAGGGAGAATGCTTTGATCTTAAACCAAATTCTCTCAACTATTCTTAAAAGAAATTTATGGAGATAAGTCTGGAGAATTTGTCTGTGGATCTTAGGGCTTATTAAGCAGCACCCTTAGGGTACGGGCGAGTGGCCGCTAATTAATGGAGGATGGCCGCTCAATACAGGCTCGTCATAAATTAACTTAGTCTTTAGCAGAAACAATCATCACTTTATTTTGAAACAAACATGTACGTGACGGGAGCAGCATTACTGGTTCACAATCAGTCATCTCCGTCTATCTTGGACTGTATTTTCCTTCATCATATTCTTAAAATAAAGCCCAGCTAAGAGTATCAAGTGTTTTTTTGATGGCCACTTAGTAGAGCTTAATTTAACAATGGAAGAACTCTTCTTGGGATGGCCAAAAAGTGGCTGCGGCCACTTAAGAGAGGTGGCCACTTGATAGAGGTTTAATTTCCCATTCTTTTCTACAATTATTTCGGGACATTGATTACTGGCCACTTATTAGAGGGTGGCCACTTAATAGGTGGATGCTTAACTCTTTAAACCGTAAGATCAAAATTAAAATTCTCATTTGTCGCCTCTATTCATTCATTACAGAAGTCAAGGCTGTGCTCTAGGGAAAATTGAAGGGAGCCCAGTGCTCTGAACCTTTAAAATCTAGGGTGCCCGGCATATGATTTGTATGAAAAATCTAAGATTCACTAGTCGCCCAAGAGCAAAAATTGGACACTAGGGGCCACCAAGCTCTCCTAGAGCACAACCTTGGAAGTAGCAGGGAGAAGATGATAAAGTATCAGGCAAATATCTTGTGTGATCATATCCATAATTCTCATGACCACTCTGTTGTACAAAGCATTGATTTTGCAAGAAGAAATTTGATGCTGATCACTCTTAGCTGGGTTTAAAGGGTAAATGGAGGTTCAACTGTATTTGCCGGCTACTCATCAATCTTTTTTTATCTTTGTGCAGTGCACATTTCTTCTATTCTTTGAAAGTAAATTCTTTATTTCTTTCATTAGATATTTCAAAACAAAGGATGGACTTTATGGACTAAGCTGTTTTGAGAGAATAGCTGTTGATAATGTGGCTGAGAGAGGGGCCCGGATGAAATCAGTTGGTATTTTATGTGCGAAATACACTTCGTTACATGAACACATGCCGTTCCTCGAAGAGGAAGTAAGGTACCCAATATCCATCACTAACCCTTTCATCCTTTTAATATATATTATGATCTTATAAATTTCTCCATACTCTTCTTCTACACTTTTGGTGGTAGTAATAAGGATAATATGTATTTTGTAAAATCAAGACTTTTTTGACCTGGTGACCTTTATAAATATTTGGTTAAGCACTTCAATACCACTACAGAACTGCTGCTGGTTAGCTCTGTGTGAAGAGCGCAGGTCCCAAAGAGCGCCTATCAGCTGCTAACGTATTTATCCTTTCTATTTTAACGTCTAGGAGGCAGTTAGAAAATCCTGGCCATTATGAAGATTTAGAAAACTATTATCACAGCTATAAAAACTGTGTTCTCAGAAACAATTACATTCCTTCTCCAACTTATGAGAAGTTACCAGGACTGGATGAAATACCAGTGTTAAAGGTACTGACGTACTTGCACTTATTCTTTGGTAATCCTGTGTATAACGTTTTTAGAACAAGTGGAAAAATAATTGTCAAAATAGTTGACTTGGAAATTCATTAGATTTTAAGAATCTACCGCATACTGCTCCCGATAAGCTCTGTGCTTCCCGGTATACATCTTTGTGAGGGGATTTTAAGAGGGCTCATAAACAGCGGGGCTTATATCTAAGGGGGCTTATACATGTAACTGGAAGAAAAAGGGCTTTGAAACAAGCTTTTGCAGTGCTAATTAGAATAAATTTTGCTTTTCCTGGTTTTTAATTGGGCTTCCAAACGTCATAATAAATCAAATTAATTTCAAAAAAGCTAGAGGGTGGCTCATATGGTGAGGGGGGTGGGCTTATGATCAGATGGGGGAGGCCTATAAGTGGGGAGTCTTATATTTTGTTTAAGCAGTAGTTCGCAATATTCTTTCATACATAGTGATATTTATTATGGGAAAATCCCTCTTGGCTTTGACAACAAAAATATTCTATGTTTATTTTTCTCCCAAAGTGTTGTTGACCAGCTTTGCTACTTTTGGTTATGGGAGTTACAAATAATTATTATTGTTGTTCTGTCTCGTAGATCACCCATCCAGCTGGATGTTTCACTCAGTTTATCAAGTTCTTTGGAGAACAAATCTTTGTTCTTTGGAAATTTGTGCTGTTACAAAAAAGAATTCTCTTCTTCTCTCCCCCACCTGTTGGCGTGGCTTGTTATAGAGGTAAGCAACTTAACCTTCCAAAAAGATAAAAATGACCCCTTCTTCCATTTAAATAGTAGCTTGGGAGAGTATCATTTTTGCACAAATTTAATAACGTTTTCTCCAGCAGACAAAAGAAAGAAAAACAAACAGTGCTGTCCCAAGTGTTATTTCATACAGATACCAAATCACAAATTTAACCATGCAGAATTGCTTCCTTTAGAAGAGGACTAATTTGGAAAGACAACATGGGAAGCTGGCAGTTTTGTTGGATGGTGAGAACACCAGCAAGCTACAATTAAGCTATGAAAAGCAGTGACTAAGCCTCCCCATTCTGTCCTGCACTTCCCTTGCTTGTGCTCCAAGGGTTGATGCTCTCCATATTTTTTGGGGCTTTGTTGCACACTCACACTCCCCTCCCCAACAAAATCTCCCTACCATTAAAATATTCAAAGCATGCCTCTGTAATCCTAATGGCAAAATCCTAAGCAATAAATATAGTATCCTGCAAACGTTCTGCTAAAGAGCTTTCATCTGAATGGTCACACCATAAGCTTTCATCCACAGATTTCAGAGTTAAACTGACAAAATTAATAACCTCGTCATAACATGGTATAGGGGTTGAAGGGTGAAAATTATCTGTTTTATGGTTCCCTAAAATCATGTGTCCGTAAGAAGTATGGAGGAATACTATGTTCTATTTTTGTTGCAGTGTACTGTGCTTGTTTGTTGGCAAGTCATGGAATTCCGTTTGGCTTTGAAACTGGTAGCAATCCCCTCTTTTTCACAAATGTTTGTGATTTAAGTGCATTGAAAGAAGAACACAAGTATGTTGCATGTAAGTTGCATGATTTTGTCTGAAATAAATAAGATTAATTATAATAATTTTCTTCAGAGGCCAAGAGAGTAGAGTACACTTCAATCTATCACACCGTCTTTTCCTCTTTGTGTTTGTTTTTGTTACCACACAAAGCCGCAGACAATCCAAAAAAAGCTTTTCCCTTCACTGTAAGAAAATGAAGCAGAAGTGCACCAAAACAAAAAATGCGAGATTGCTTGTTGTTGACAGCTTAATCATCACTGAAGTTGTCAATTGAATTACCAAAATTTAAACAGCCGCCTTGATATTCAAACTTAGATGTGTTGTTCTTTATGCACAAGGTACAACAGAGAAGATATTTGAGAGCAAATTGGAAGTGTATGATGTCTATGTTGATAATCAGAACATCAAATGCAAACAACATTTGAGTTGGATTGCTCATTTTAATAATGCTGATAGAGATCGACTACATCAACTGGACTCTTTCAGGTAAGTTGGAAACTATGAATCATGTGTTTGTTTCGTTTTTTTAAAGATTTACTTTAAGCTTAGTCGCGGAGTGAGAAAGGTGTGTTCATCTTGTCAAGTTTGTGACAGATCTGAGTTCTGATGGGACTCACACAGCTTTGATCTTCAGAGGAATACACCCTAGCTTGAAATAAGTTTGTTCTAGTTTAGGGTGTAAAGTGCCCTACTCCATGGCTCCTTGGAGATTGTGGATTCCAAAAATCTCTTGTACTCTGGCAGATTATGTTCGCTTATGTCGTAGTGAAGATAACATTCTTTATTGTCAGGAAAACGTCATTTTTCACTCAGACACAAATGGAAAAAGGAGAAGGCTGTCGTTTTCTCTTGATTTTGTTAGCTCATTCTCTCTTGGTTAACATTGTCTTTCAAAATTAGCAAAGGTTGCCACACCAGAGGGGGTGGTGGAGAAGGATTCTTTAAACTGTATTCCTGATTCCAAGGCCCAGAATTCCGGATTTCTCAAGTACAATTTTCACGCATTCCGGAATCCGGATTCCCTTACATGATGCGAAGTCTTTTTGTAGCTAAGGATATTTCCCCTCATAATACATTCAGCCATATGAATTTTCCACAGATCAGATCACTGTGCTTCCTTTTTGAAGCACCGTTTTGAGTTGTGATGGTGAAAAGTTTATTTTGTTGTGGTTGTTCTTTTAAAGGCAAGAGCAGCTATACACAGGTGGCGACGTTTGTGATGATGAGAAGATGTACACAAAGTGAGTGACAATCTACTTGTTAGAACAAAACGCTGTATGGTCAATTCTATGCTAAAGTCATTTCTTAGTGTCTTTTCCCATACACAAAACGCTCCTGTAAAGTTATAAAGAAGATATCAAACAAGTTCCATAAGAAGCACCAACCATAGTAACATTTGTGGTGATTTTTGCAGTCACAGCATTAAAACTTGAAGTAGTTGGCCCAATGTTTTCAATTTTCAATCCATATCAATCCTTGCCATCCATAGTAACAAACGACAAGAAATAGTTTCAATGCCTAAATATAGTCGTAAACAACAAAACTGGACCATTATTTTTGGAATTCAATTGATGCGAACACACACACGTTTTAGATTTTTAAAAGATAGCAAATAGCCTGACATAGCCCCTCTATTAGTTTATTCACAATTTATTAGACGTGGTACACATTCAGTGCCGGATCCAGACCTTGAGATACGGGAGGGGCCCGGTCATCCAGACCCTGAGATAACGGGGGGGGGGGGGGGGGGGGTCCCCCCGGGCCCCCCCCCTGGATCCGCCATGGGGTTCATTAATCCTTGGTGACATCGTTTTGTTTTTCTTCTTTTCAGATTTTTTGTCAACTTAAACAACAAGCTTTTCCAGACACTTTTCGAAGTAGCTTCTACTGAAGACAGAACTTTAACACCGGAACACATCCGAAGTGTAGGACTTGATTCAAAGGCCGATCTGCATTTCTTGTCTGACTTGGTAGATCTTTACGGAATCGACGTTCACATTCCAGAATCCAAATGTTGTCCATTTTACGTTTAAGTCAGTGGTCTCTACTCCTGACTGAGCTTGTGCTTTATCACACCGCCTTCAACTCAACTTCAACCATCCGGCCTCCATCAGAGGGCTCTCATTCTCGAACCCAAAGCTTACGCTTCAGATTCCACGCGGTAATGTCGTCTTCTCGAAACCCCAGCTCTAACGTCCCGAGAATTAAAGTCCCTTGTTGATTCCCGAGAACCCTGACTTACATTATTTCTCCTCGAAAACCGCCTCTTGACTTTACTTAGTGGCTTGCGTTCACCGCACGTTCTTAAATTGCGAAGATTAAGGACGCAAACGTTTTCATTTTAGAGCCATCTAGTCGGCCTTCAACGAGAGGAAACTATATTTAATAACTTTTGGTGAAGACCCAGACGAAAGAGGAGAAAATCCTTGACTGTCGCCATGCTCGTCCAATCACGAATGAAACCAGAAACTACCAAACCAATCGTGGCTTGCTCCCCTTTTCCCGCGCTTTTTTTGACATCTGATTAGTTCACCGTATTTTCACCAGCCAGAGAGTAGATTAGTTTGCTTTTGGATTTATCTCTCCGATGAAAAAATCAACTTAAGCCAATAAGCAAGCTCTTCAACTGGATATCGCGGGAAGCGGAAGGTTGAGGCACAAATGTGTGGCCCTACCAGAAAGATAAATGGTACTTAAGCCATTGAGGGTGCAAAGACTCCAAAGAAAATGTCAGTCTCCAAGAAAATGTTTTAAATAGCGAGCGAGATTGTCACTGTTGGATAAAATACGCGCAAGATTTCTTACCCAGTTCCCAAAGCGTAGCATTGCAGTAGGACTAAAAATGTACGAAGATCGTTTCTTATTTGTAACATAAGTTGAATTTACATAGCGTTACATGCCCTGAGAAAGTCACTTTCCCTGTGACAAGTAACGACGTTAGAAGACGAGTAATAGAAGTCGTTGAAAGCAAGAACGACAACTGTGGTAACCAAGAACGTGTAAAAATAATAAGCAAAATACAAACACTACACGTGCATCACACCTTTTGGTACATCTTTTTGCTGCCACTTCACGACTACCTTGTAAAATGTGACGTTTTTGCCAGGCGTAAGCAAAAGATGGCGGATTGTTCTTTCTTTGGTCCACAAAATTTAGCTCCAGAAAAACAAAATTCGCCTACTTTTGACAAACTGAGCGAGTTGGAATACTACATACCAGTGACGGATTCAGACCTTCAAGTAAGTCGGAGGCCTGCTCATCCAGTCCCAGTCAACCAGAGGGGGGCCGGGCATTATTGCCCCTGCACGCCTCGGCTTAGGAGGGGAGGTCCGGTGCCCCGGGCACCTCCTTTTGATCCGCTCTTGCATACGATGGAATTTAATGGAAAGCGAATTCACTTTGTTGATGACATTTATCGCCATCGTTGTTGCTTAAGGAAAAGTAGAATAATATTTGTGAACATTACAAATGTTGTAAGGGTATTAAACAAAGAGGATGACAAAAAAGTATGTTAAGAGTTGTTCTGTGTGACAGGTAAATTAGAGAAAAACAAAAAGAAGAAAGGGGGCATTGACGGAGGAGTCGAGAAGAATGCATCTACTAAAAACAAAAACTCCTGTAAATGAACTGACTGTTACCACCTTCTTCAGGAGGATTTTCCGGCTGTCTGGTGCTTCTTTCCCGAACTGGTACTATTTGCTTTCACTGGCGGATTTAGGGGAGGGGACCGAAGGGCATGGGCGCCCACCATTTTTTAGGCCAAACTAAAGCACGCAGGGCCGAGGAATATTATTTTTGTGCTAGGGCACCCTCTTATCTTACGCTTCCCCCACCCCCATTCAAATTAAACTTGCTTGAAGATCTGAATCCGCCATTGGCTTCGGTTTCAGCATCTCGCAAAATGAAAATTTATACTTTTTTTAATTAAGAGCACAGCATTTACTCAACAAATCCCTGCAATCGCTTTAAAAAACTTAGTCGCGTTACCTATTTTCCTGTTTATACAGATGTCTGCTATTTCCATGGCCTCAAAAGGAAAGAAGGAGAACGGGAGACTTCCAAATGGAAAACAAAACTGAGGGAGAATCTAACTTGAAATTATGGCAACGCAGAAAGCATAGCCTGTGAAAAGACTCCCGGCGGGGCGGGGCGGGGCGAGGAACACGGGACAGGCCTTCCCCGTGCCCTTCCCCTCCCGTCTCCGTCCGGCTCGCGCCTTATGGCAACCTCGTTCGCAGGTTCTCTTTCCTGCCCGTCGGGATAGGGAAGAGATAACCCTGGGAACGAGGTTGGCTTTATAGCTTTGTCTTTGTCCTAGTATACCCCACACTGAGACCTTTTCACAGGATTAGGATGCTAGAAACTAGAATATGTATGTCTCTTGTGTTTCATTTAGCTCTTTGGTAACTATTTTTTGAATATTCATTTCCTCATGATTGATTTTGTTGTACTCTGCCACCCGCAAGAAACCACCCGAAAATCGTTGTTATAGCAACTGTACCAGAGTACGGAAGTATTTCAAGTAAAGTTATAAAATATTAATATATATTTCGACTGCTCAGTCATTGAATACTTAACCGACGATCGCTTTTTCTTGATGAAAATAGCTAGTGAGAGTATTTGCCGAAAGAGAGAGATGGTAGTGTCTTGAGCTATTCTCAGGAAAGCCGTTTCTCTGAGAAATGGTAGCTGTACGCCAGTCCGAGAACGTGTGTCGACGAATCAACAAGAATCATGGCGTACACCGCTCTTTTACTGACTTTTGGTCTAGTCGTGGTTGAATTTAAGTTGTGTTCGTGCAGGGTGTGCGAAGCGGATAGAAATACAAACGGCTGCAGCACGCCGATGGGAATGAACGCCCCCTTTAAAAGAGAGTTTACACCGGCTTGTGATAAACACGACATTTGCTACGGTTGTGTAAGTACGTGTTTTGTGATTCTCCCGTGTAGCGTGTACTGCGTGTGCGTGAGAGTGCGTGTTAGGGTGATCGAGCGTTCTTTATGTGTCAAAGTCAAGTTTAGCACGTCGAATGTTTGATCACATGCAAATTTTGTTATTAGTGATCGAAACTGAATCTCAGCTACAGGATTCAACTTAAGTAATAATGTTTTCCAATCATCATTAGCCAACCTTCTTACTATACTGACTTGGTTTCCTAAACATCTATAATTGGATTCCTCGAAAATTCTGAGAATGAGAGGTCGATTAGCGTACTTTAAATTGTACTCTCTTGATTGCTTTCGCTGGTATACTTTCCGAAGAATGATGCAAAATTGGACTCACATTCGAAAAAGTCGAAAAACAGAGCAATTTCTCATAGCGCCGCGACTGCGGCCATATTGATGCTTCAATAACAGTGAAACGGCGGCAAACCAATTCTGTGTGAGTTTAACTCTTTTCTTTTGTAAACGATTTCTTTTTTACCAATCAAGTCCCATTATGGCTCTCGTTCCAATGTAAAATTTGCATAGATGCTGGCTACGTGAGTGAAAACGCTCTCGATCTATAAGTGAATTGTTGCAAAACTACCCGGGTAAAAGAAATAGGTTTTTTGGATTGCTTCCTGAAGTAAGAAAAAGTTACGATAGAATGAATACATTTGCTCTTCCGATACAAATATACCGCTTCTTAAAGAAGCTACACGAGCAGTGGCCTTTGCTTAAACTGAACCCTAACTAGATTTAGCCTATCTTATAAGAAAAATTCCGTGATTCTTAGAGAACTAGGGCAGGCCCCTGACTCTCAAGCTTTTCATTCTTAGCAACAGGACAGTTGCTTACCTTAAAGTTAACTTTAGGTGTTTATTATAATTTTTTTCAGGGTCATCATTATAATTGGACACGGGAAGAATGCGACAAGTCATTGTTAAACGATATGCTAAGAGCTTGCAATGGGCGTATTAGAAAACGACGCGGTATTACTGATGTTGTACTGGACATTTGGTATTTTTTCCAAGGACTAAGTAAGGAAAAGAGAAGATGCAAGATAGCCGCAGACATGTATTACAAAATTGTACGCGCCTTTGGAGGCTCGCACTTTGAAATAAGAGACCATAGCTACTGCAAAAATACGTGCGCAGATAAACACGGAAGTCCCTATGAAGATCTTTATTGAGCCTGAATTTTGATTTTAGCGAAGAGTGACTGAAACAAACTGTTCCGCGTAAACCTGATCGACTATTTCAAAAGTCGCGTCTTCTGACATAGGTTCAGAATACTAAAGAGAGTTTGCCGTTATCTTGAAGTTCAATGCTCAAATGACTTGGCAGTTGCTTTGTCGTTTAAGAATACTGCAGAATCTGGTGTGAAGTGTAGAGAGCTCGGCTAAGTATGGCTTATAGTTACGTATACTCGTGTGAAGTGTAGAGAGCTCGGTTAAGTAGCTTATAGTTACTTATGGGAGGGACTTCAGTAGAACTCGACTTGTTCAAGTGAATTGTTTAAAGAGAAAAAGACTTTAAATGAAGCTGGGGAACGATTTAATATCACCAATTGTTATCAGATCGTAAGTGTCCAAAATGGCCTTTCTTTTTGGAGAAATGAAGATTAATAACATAACACTGAGTAAAATATTTGGCATTTTAATTTGTTCTGTATCGTGTATTTTCTTGAGCTTCTCACTTATAGTTTAGTCCCAGAGAGCCGTAGATTATATAGAGTATTTTACTGCTGTACCATAACGAAATTGTCTTTGAGAAATGTACACAGTGACTCTGTATATCAGAAAGAACAGTTTTAGCCCTAAAAATGGGGCCGTTTCGACGAGTAAAATACAGTATATTTGGCTCCCTTTGTCAGGGCCAATACAGTCCAATTACCTAGGGTTGATTCGCACTCACTGGCCGTGAAATGAGTCTGAGCGCGGGCTGGAATAGGCTTCTTCGATATGGGGCTGTCTTGGCTTTAATCATCGTGTTCAAATGGTTCAAGAAAAGGCTGAATCAGACTGTGGCCTGCATGGCTAAATACGTACTTTGGGGCTGAAACAGATCTTTTTAATTTTCAGTGTAGCTGTACCAATTTTGGAGTGCTGCAAACTAGAGAGTTTAAGTATTTTGACCCTAAAGTTACAGTCAAACCAGGTCAAGCGTTCCCGTCGCTAACGAACTAATGAATTCATTAACGAAAAAATGATTTCGTTTGTTGACTCAATAATCCATTCATAAAATGAACAATCCAATATTCATATTTACCCTCGATTCCATAATCGAATGTTGATTCGATTACTGTTTTTTGAAAAACTACAATTTCCACAAGTCGACCTCAGAATTTTGTTTTTCTTCTTGTTTTCTAAGAGTTGAGTGCGAGCGAGTTCTGAAGTTCAAACCCAAACAAACTGTTACATGTACGCCATTTTGCTGCCAATAATCAGTGCACCAGACCTGACTGCTCTAAGAAAACATGACGGTCAAACTGAGGTCAGTGTACGAGCGGTGATTGGTGGATTTCGATCCTCGGCTTTTGTCAGTTTCTTTGCGTTTGCGGTCTGTCTATTCTAGCTGTTATTTTGATTAAAGGCAATGAAAAACGCAATTGTAAACGGCAGGAAAAGGGAAGCAAATACGATTGAACGCAACAGACGAGAATAAAGAACAAGTAGATTTTGTTCATCAACCAAATCAATATTTCATTATTGAATCGAGGTCCAATTTGACTGTTGGATTATTCATTTTATGAATGGATTATTGAATCAACAAACGAAATCATTTTTGCATTAATGAATTTATTAGTATGTTAGCGACGGGAACGCTTGACCTGGTTTGACTGTAAAACTGCTTGAACTTTTATCCTCCCGGAAAATTCTTTACAATTAATTGTACTGCTCATCAAATTATTCTGACAGATCTCTCTTAAAACTCTAGCTATTCTACCCGTCTTTCCGAGGCTTTCATTTTTGTTCCGCAGTAATACAACCGCATATTAAAGCGCTCGAAAAAAACGCGGGGAGATTAGGAGAAATTAATTATTTTGATGGAAACAAAACAACTCGGTATATAGTTACGCGTGGGGTTGGTCGCTGATGGAAAATTAAGTCCAAGTGACTACTCAGATTCGGTCCTTAAGGTTTCGATCTTCCTTGAGTTACTAGAGTAAGCTAAGCTTTGCTGAAAATAAACCGTTCGTTTTTCCTAGCAATGATTGCCGGATCATACGCGGATGCCCTGTATGATTCTGAAAAGGTAATATCCTAGCACAACAATACTACCTGTATTTCACCGTTTTATGGCCGTGATTGACTGTTAACTGAAGATGTTGATCAATCGAAATGAACAATTTTTGGTCGTTTGTTGTTTTACGAAAGCCGCCAATAAAGTTGCGACCTTGTCAAACAGACATATTATCCATAGCCACCAGCGTTGATTTACTTAACAAAGGAACTATTTTGACATTTTATTAAATCGACTAAATTATAATGTGCATATATGCTTGTGTAGTCTTGTTCTTTCATTCACTGGTGGGGTAAATTTAAGAACATTTTAAAATAATTCAAGAAAATGGTAAGTCATCTTGGTGTTTTTTTTTATTTTTAAGCAAAAATGAAAATTTATTCTGTTAAAAAGGTCTAGTTTGCGCTAAGGAAAGTGTATGAAACTTGAACATAAAGACACAGTTCCAAAGATTGCAGAATATGAAGATTCTTTTTCTTGCCTTCGCACTTTAAAATCCTCTGAGCAAGGTTACATATATCTTGTGTAAATTTAAGCGAAGTAGTCCAAGAAGAGAAAGAGGTCGAAATATTCAATTTTCACGCTGCTTGCTACTTGGTGTTTAAGTCAGTTTTCGGAGCATAAGTTTGTGTAAGGTTAGAACTGACAGGAAAAAAACGAATTTATGCAAAGAGTCAAATCCTAAAATTAAGACGATCGTTAACAAGAACAGACAATTTCCTCTCTCTGACAGTTTGTGGACTTGTAGTAAAAGACGTTTCTTTTTTTTTTCTAAAACCTAAGGGTATATATATTGATTAACAGGCAGGAACTGCATTAAAATGGCTGAAAAGAAATAAATTTGCCATATATTTATGTTTATATTTGAGTATAAGGTAACAATTACTTTAGAAAGAAAAATTTGCATGAAAATTTCCGGGTTCCAAGGAGTTCCGTTTTTCGAATCGTGAGGATTTGGTACGGAGCTTCCCACAACCCTTTGCGCGGAAGAATAAAATGGCGAACGTTTCAGGTTGTTGTTGTGTGGGAGAATGTCAACAAAAATTAAGCTTGAGACAGTGAGAAAAATTTTAGAACTCAGCTGAAAAATGCCGAGTGAAGACGGGTCTGATACTGAAGAGCAACAGGGAGCAACTTGGGAGCACCAGTCTTTAGCACAGGTAGAATATCAATAACAAAAACCATGATGGGCTACTTTGAAAACTGTCGAGACTGTTTACTAACCCGAGCTTTAAGTCGGTTCCGTTACTAACAAACCGCTTTTTTTGACAGTTCTACAGGCGTCGAAGAATTCTTAATTTTAGTAATCCAATTACGATAAAATCAGTTCACCAAAACGAGCTTATAACTAGGCTTTGTGAAATCTCAGTCACGCTGTCCGCAGTCAGTTGTTATAGCTACAACTAAGAGGTCACGTGACCAATGCTTCCTTTAACAAAGCGAAAAAAACTGTCAAGATGTCCACAGCTTCTTAAGAATTAAAACAATTAGGTTAATGCTATTTATCAGTTTACCAAAACGAGCTTATAACTTGGCTTTGTGAAACCTCAGTCACGCCGTCTGCAATCAGTTGCTATAGCTACAACTAAGAGGCACATAAAAATTCTCTTACACCCGAAATTTGGGAGGAAATGCATTTAAGGGAGTTATTTTATGGCACTTTGATTTTTCAACAAAGTAGGATGATTTGTATTGATGGCCAGGTCGGAGGGCATACTCTTGCCCTCCAACATGGCGACCAAAACTACCTTTTGCTTATATCTTGTTAAACATTTTATAGTTACTCTCAGATGTGCTGTAAACGTTACCACACCCTCTTTTCAACATTTTCCTTGGAGTTTAAGTGCGAAATTTGTGTTCAGAACGATGTAATTCATAATTTTAAAAATCACATTTTTGTCACGTGACCAGCTACGAACTTACTCATTTTAAGAAAATGGTGCTGGTTTGAAAAACCAAATCACTATTATTTTGTTTAAGATGTGACCCACTAATTGTTTTACGATGGCAAAATCATATAACTTTGTTTTTCATAAAAACGAAGTCACATGACATTTTAGTGCAAATGGCCTATCAATACGTCAATAGTGGAGCAGTATATTACTGAAAATCTCTCAACCAATATTGAAATCGACTTTTTTGATCTTTAATTTTGAAAATGATTTATTTTTCATCAAATTACGCCTCTGTAGGTAAAGATAAGAGTTTTAAGAGGACATAAAGATGCGGTCAACGGCTGCTCATTTACCTTCGGTGATTCCAAGATAGTTACTGCTTCACATGACAAGACCTTGCGACTTTGGGTAAGTTAAAGATTTCTAAAGAAACAAAAGGGTTCAATTTCTATTAAATGTCTGGGCAAAGTGGGTAGCACTATATCCACCAGATAATGCTATATATCCAGAGTAGANTTTTGAAAATGATTTATTTTTCGTCAAATTACGCCTCTGTAGGTAAAGATAAGAGTTTTAAGAGGACATAAAGATGCGGTCAACAGCTGCTCATTTACCTTCGGTGATTCCAAGATAGTTACTGCTTCACATGACAAGACCTTGCGACTTTGGGTAAGTTAAAGATTTCTAAAGAAACAAAAGGGTTCAATTTCTATTAAATGTCTGGGCAAAGTGGGTAGCACTATATCCACCAGATAATGCTATATATCCAGAGTAGAGGTATTTGGAAAAGCAGTTATAGTTGCGTTATCCCATGGTTAGTGATTTATCCGGTGTTAAGCCTCATCCACCTTTTGAAGGGCAAAACTTTGCTCATGTTAATGATCCTGCTGGCTATGCAGGCTATTACTTTTTCTTTATTTCTTCAGTATATTTGTTGGTAATTCATGGACATTTGAACTGCAACGTTTTATTTTGTTTCTTTCAACAATATTCTCTTTTCAGGACGCAACTTCTGGAGCACATCTTAAGGTGTACAAGGGCCACACCTCCTTTGTTACATGCTGTCATGCAGATGCTAACAGTGCAAGGTATCAGATAATGAACAATATTATTAAATGAGGCTGAGTTAGATTTGAAGTATTATGGAGCTCGAGGAGGGTGTTAACACCCTATGAGAGCATCACATTCATGTAAAATAACCCATGTTTTTATTATTTTATTATTCTAATATTGGCACCATTTTAATGAATTTGGAGAAATGAGAGTAGGACGTGGGAATCGAGAAGCCAATTTCGTTAAAGAAGAAAAACAAACATATGTGCAGCCACTTTCTAACGACTTTCTAAAATGAGATCTTACTCTCTATTAACTTCTTCATCTTGTTAGGATTGCCTCAGGTGGATGGGATAAAAGACTTTTAGTATGGGACATTCAAACTGGAACTATTCTGGTAAGGCTTCAGATAGCCCTAGTTCTATGCAAAGCAGTGGCCAAAACAGTTTTTGAAAATCAAGAAAAATCTACCTTTCAGTTTGTCATGGCCCATTCACTGGGTCTGAGTCAGCAACTGCGGCTGCAGACCCCCTCATGACCTTCTGCAAACTTGTCAGACTTTGCTTTGAGTATCAGAGTGGTTTTGAAGTGACCAGCTCCTGTTGAATTTAAGGTTAATGTATATTTAAGCCAAAATCATGGCTGAAAGCATTAAAATCACAGCTGGTATTTTACAAAATATTATTTTGTAGTAGGGAACTGTAAAACTTATTGAAAGAAAAGACTCAACTAAAGACAGCAACCAAGCACAAAGTTTCTTGGTCTTCCCAATTTAATAAAATATAGCTGATAATCTCAGTGATATAATTTCATCTCCTTTATTAAATTTAGACTAATGTTATAATTCTCTTTGTGGATTGTCTTTAGTGGGAGGCCCTGAATGAAGGTATTGTAACATCCTGCAACTTTTCGCACGATGGTCGCTACCTTATCAACAGCAGTGATCTGGATTTTGCTGTCAGTGTATGGGACGTCAGAGAAGGAGCCCTCATAAAAAAGCTATTCAGTAAGTGGTATACAACTGAGTTGTCCTAAATGTCTATAGAGTAAAGACGTGTGATGTTACAAAAAGTCAGATTTGTGTAACTATGGGATTGGTTGGCGTAAATTCAGAAAGAACTAGATGGAAAAAACCCCTAAGTTGTCAAAATAATTTTTTAAGACTTATGAACAGTAAGTTGTGTGTAGATCACTCATGAATCAAACCTTTTTATTAGGACTTTCAAGTGGTACTGTTTGTCTTCTAGTATTAAATTATTTACAAAATAATTTTTAGGATTTTTTATTTAGAGGTACAGTCGACTCCCGATAACTTGAACCTTCAAGGGAAATCGAAAAAAGTTCGATTTAGGGAGTTCGAGTTATCGGGAGCTCGAAGAAAATAGCCGAGAGTAAGGTAAAAAACAGTTTTCTTCTGCACAGTGAACATTTTAATCACATTTAATTGTAGAAATGTCAAGTGAAAATTAAAAGATGCTTCTAGATTATAAATCAGAACGTAACGTAACAAAACATAGCCTAAATAGAGCATGCGTCTAACTGTTTTGAGAAGTAAAGCTGCTTCACGTTAGTCTGTGACAATCAACATCAGCCTCCATTAGTAAACTATACTCCTACAACACGTTAATAGGAAATGCAAAATTTAATGTTTCGGACGCCAGTAGACGGCTTTTTCCCGACCTTTTAAGGGCTCAAAACATGGTTCGAGTTATTGAGGGTAAAATTGTATAGAAAATGACCTGAGGGGAAACGAAAACTGGTTTGAGTTAGCGGGAGTTCGAGTTATCGAGGGTTCGAGTTACCGAGGGTAAAATTACAGTAAATGTATATGACGGAAATCCAGGGGAAATCGATTTTGGTTCGAGTTAGCGCGAGGTTCGAGTTAGCGAGGGTTCGAGGTATCGGGAGTCGACTGTAATATGTTTTTTGGTATACTCAGGATTGAAAAGGTTATTTTCAGTCATCGTCTTAGGACTCAGGCTAGTCATTAATCCATCACATTTACGAAACTTTTAGTTTTGTTTCTAGAAACTGGAGACATACAGTGTAGATTTAATTCAAATCAAATGTTTGTCATTATATTTACTGGTACTTCTCTTTTAACTTAATAGATCATAAAAGTACAGTTACTTGCTGCCGATTTGCTCCAACACAAACCCGAATTTGTACAACTTCTATGGACAGAACAACGAAGATTACAGACATGCAAACTTTTACAGAAGATTATAATGTTACTCTCACTTTGGGGTAAGGTTAGGGCATTTAATGATTTTTTTTATTGCTGTCTTGAAGCATGGATCTTGAGTTCAATTCCCAGGTGTAACCACAAATCCTTCTTTCAACTTCTTTCCTTTCCCTGTGGCTTTAAGAAGCTTTAAATACCTGTGAAACAGAGCATTGATGGAGAGGGGAAGTGGGGGGGTGGTAAAATGAGTGCACCGTTGGCCACAGGTTTGTTAGTCAGATGACTATTTCAAGTTACCCCCTAAGTTCTTCATGGTTGTGCAATCCCAACTGACATAAATGATTAATTTATAAGGTCTAATGCCAAAATGTAATGATTAGACTTGCCTCCAAAGACAAGAAACATTGTCTGTATTTGCCCAGGTAGATTTTCCTTAAACAAGAAAACAGATGTATGCTTCACATAAAAAGTTTATCAATGTTTTTTCTTAAATTATTATGATGCTGAGTCACTTCAAAGCCAACCTATAGTCTAAAAGTTACTACTCTACCAGGCTAAATCACTGTTAGAGCTTAGCCAGCTTTTATCTTGTTTGTTGCACTGTTTTATCATACCATCCATGGATGTTATTTTATTGGCTGTCGATCTGCTCGATGAATGTTTGTTTGACTGTCTTCAGGGGTCACATCAATGTCATCTCCAGCTGTTGTTTTAGTAAAGACGAGCACTTCTTGGCCACAGGGTCATGGGACAAGAACATTCAAATATGGGACATTGCCACTGGTGTCTATAGGTACAGCAGTTTTCTGATGCCAAAGAAAATTATGCTAAAATTTGGTGATAGCTTGGAACTTAGAGAGGCCCACAACAGTGAGAGCCAATAAAGTCACTTTTAGCTGGTGTTAATTTTAAAAGTACAGTAAATGAGAGCTGCAACCCTACCTATTTTGAGACTTCTTCACCATTAAATATAATTTATTACTCTGTTGCACTTCTGAGCTGAGCCCTGTGTTGATATGCATCAGTCCATAACAGCTTAGCTCAAAAGGGAGGCGGGGGAGTTTACTCCCCCTGACTTCTAAAGTCTACTCCCCCCTGACTCCCCAAGCGAAAATGCTACTAGAAAGAGTTTGCTTGTATAGTCACCACAGCGGGGGTACTCCGGATTTCGAGAGACAGGGATGATCAAAGGATTTTTTTTAAGGTAGTAAAATATCAGATGGTATGATGAGGAAACAAACACAATCGTTCAATTTTTAATGTTTTTACTTTTTCATGTTTTTAATGCCTTTGGAAATTTTTAAGGCTTGGAAATTTGACATTTTTTTTTTTTTGGGGGGGGGGGTTAATTTTTTTTTCAGGGGTTTTCCGGGGGGTTTTTTGGAAGCCCTGGGGATGTTTTTGGGTTTTGGTTTTTGCCTTCTTTAGTTCATCTCCGTCATTTGTATTCCGGATTCTCCCCCGGGAC